GTGGTGGGGTAGGGCTGGTGGGGGTAGGGCTGGTGGGGGGGGGGAGGGATTAGGATCAGACGACAACATTCTGTTCATTAAAAAATTTTTCACTTCAATATTTAATGCTATGCTGCAGAGTATATTTATTCCATTTTCTTGCCAGCCATATGATAGCATTTCTATTGATTGGAAATGATAATTTTGCAATTTAGTCCAGAAAGGGGGAGGGGTGGTAACACCTTAATGCAAAGGGAGAGGGGAGGGGGGAGATGCGAGGATTCTAGCCATTAAACTGGACTTTTTATTGCAAAAGAGGCCTGTTTTAAATCAGAAGCCAATTCTATGCATTATAACAAAGGGAGTAACCCCCCCCACACACACACACACACCATAAAATCACAAGCTACAGGCCCCATTGCAATGTTGCGTTCTTCATATTCTTGGAACAAATCTGAGAATGTTACCATACAAAAAGATGTTGTTTAATTTTTTGATTCAACCTCAACCTGATGAATTATCCTATTTAGATCAGATTCTTCTGATGTTTGAACACTCAATCCTGACACATCATTGGTGCAATGCTATCTGGGAACATTATGCAACTGTTCTCTGATTGTCCTACTTCTTACAGAGATCTGGAACTATCCAGGTCCTCCTTGCCTCCAGTGTCCTTCTCTTATCAGAGGGAGACTATCTAAGCCTTGTTTGGACATGTCATATAAAAGCTCAGTTTGAAAGCAAAGCAGTGCTTGGCTGTCCAGTTCTAAAGCTAATAAATACCTGGTTGCACTAACAACTCAGTCAAAAATTCTACAATAAATCACATGCAGGTACCCTGAGCTTCAGAGATAACTTGCCACTAACCTCTTCACTATAGCCTATCTNTTAAACTGGTCTTTTTTTTGAAAAAAAGGGCTTTTTTAAAACAAAAGCCCAATTTTTTGCATTATAACAAAAGGAGGTAACCCCCCCCCCCCCCCCCCCACACACACACACACACACACACCATAAAATCACAATTAAGCTACAGGCCCCATTGCAATGTTGCATTCTTCATATTCTTGGAACAAATCTGAGAATATTACCATACAAAAAGATGTTGTTTAATTTTTTGATTCAACCTCAACCTGATAAATTATCCTATTTAGATCAGATTCTTCTGATGTTTGGACACTCAATCCTGCCACATCATTGGTGCAATGCTATCTGGGAACATTATGCAACTGTTCTCTGATTGTCCTACTTCTTACAGAGATCTGGAACTATCCAGGACCTCCTCGCCTCCAGTGTCCTTCTCTTATCAGAGGGAGACTATCTCAGCCTTGTTTGGACATGTCATATAAATGCTCAGTTTGAAAGCAAAGCAGTGCTTGGCTGTCCAGTTCTAAAGCTAATATATGGCTGGTTGCACTAACAACTCAGTCAAAAATTCTACAATAAATCACATGCAGGCTAAGCTGACAAAGATCTTGACATGGACAATTGTATTTTTTCAGTCTAAGCTCCTAAAGAAAATTGTGACTGCCTTAACTACAACTTTACTCTCAGTATAGAGAAAGGTCTATTAACAATTTTCAACTGCTCAGTACATTAATTACACTTGTACAAAATCTCAATAGTGATTGTCAAGAACATTCATCATGGCAGGCTCGTAGACAAGAAAGGTTCAAATAACCAGCATCTTTGACAAAAAAAACATCCACTTTGAATCAAGACTTGATCTGGGTTCTGCATGCCATTTCTCCAGATAAGTCAACTAAGGGGTTAAAAGGTCAACAGGACCATTCATACTAATTGCCCTTAAACCACTATAACAAATCTTCGCCACATTTACATAATCACTTATCAAAACACAGAAATCTCAGCCAAGTCCAGTGACACCTGCCCCATGGTCAACCACGTCCTCTGGTCACTGTCAGATTGGTTAGAACTGGTTCAAAGCAGTTCACACCTGTCATCTCTGGTTGTACACATTTTGTTTGGCCGCTGACTACAGATCGACCCTGGGGGTGGTTCGGTTTGAGATCAATCTTTAAAAGTGTGTATTGTGTGTGTGTGTTGATGTGCAAAAAGCTGACATGAATCATCCATCATAACATAAGCATAAATAATTTATTGGTTATGGAGAATAATAAATTTATACAAATTCTAGACCATGGTTCACTTTTCTTTCTTTTCACCGAAATTAATGATGGACACTTTAAATGACGGGGCATGTCCCTCCAAGAGAAAGGCAAGGATGTTGGTTGACCATTTTAGACACAGATAACTGCTGATAGCGTTTAGAGTAAAGGTTTACTACTATTTATAGTATTACGTAAACTACCGGTGTTTCCTACATGTTCATGTAAGGTCTAATTCATGCATTTCGACGAGTGACACCCTCCCAAATCAACTTTAATTTCAATAACCGTGCCAGCCAATACTTTAGACGTTACCCATACTTCTTAGATACATACCAACTTTAAATGGTGGCTTGTTTGGTGCCATAATTCTGTCTTCGAGACACAACACACGTGGAGTCTGATTTGAAAGAGGCAGAAAAGGGGTCAATTTCTCTTTATATATGAAAATATGACCTAATTTTCCATAAATGGAAGTCGTATTTAAATTTGTTTTCAAATATCCAATCAAAAGTCAGACATTTGCTCAGCAGCGCCGTCTAGTATTTTGAAAAGGGTCATGATCATGTGATCACGTGCAAGCCACCATTTTGTACTAGGGTAATCAATAGTGGTAGCTGCAGGACGGAGTATTTTTTTGCTGAAAATGAGCGCCTTGGATTTCAACATAGACAATGGCTACCTTGAGGGGCTGGTGCGTGGCTTCAAGGGAGGGATCCTAACGCAAACAGACTACCTTAATCTTGTACAGTGTGATACTTTAGATGGTTAGTAGAGAAGTGTTTTGGTGAGTCGGTGTCGCCGGTGGACTCAGACTCAGTGACACTCATACAGTGACAGTTCCCATTTATTCTGACTTTTACAGATACTGAGAGTATTGTGCAGCACTTCACATGATAACTAAATCATACACCCTTCACAGACAAATGACTGTCAAATTGACTGCCATTGATCAGATTACGCTGTGACGATTCGAAGACTATATTTTTTCCTTGTAAATTTATTATAATGCAGGCATTGTGAATGTTAAACTTTGTCAATCGATTTAACGTGTTGATATTCTGTTAACATTGGTTCCCTGGGCTTCAGCTTTGAGAGCACATGATGTGACAACTTCATGTTGCATTTGAAAGGAGTCGGTGAAACCTGCTGTAACAACCCTTCATTAGCAAGACGTGGTTATTTTCTGTAGCCTGTCAACGTTTAAAGTTAATTCTAAAATTGCCTGGCTTTTTGGCAAGCTGTTAACAGGTTGATTAAAACCATTTTGATATAACAAAACCACCAAAAGACTTAATCCTCAAGACATCAACTCTTTTGGTAAATGTGTATAATTAAATGTGAATTTATGTCAACTTGGGTACAAGTAAAAAAAAGAAAATAAATAAATAATAATAATAATAATTAAGTTTATATGAAAAGAATCGTTTTGTTTCCAGATTTAAAACTCCACCTCCAGAGCACAGACTATGGAAACTTTCTTGCCAATGAGCCCAGTCCTCTCTCTGTATCTGTAATAGATGACAAACTCAAAGATAAACTAGTGGTTGAGTTCCAACACATGCGGAATCATGCTGTCGAACCTCTATCTACATTCCTGGACTATATCACGTAAGTAGATTGTTGATAATACATATGCTATCAGAAATGTAAGATTACATGTCAATAGTTAATATAAATATTCAGATGGCTCACATACTGTTATTAAACACAGAAGTAGGAGTTGATAATTTGTTTCTGACAATTACAGTATCCACCCTTTATGGCAGTAGCCATTTAAATGGTTTCATTTTCTTGATTAATCCCATTTTGCTTTTTCAAGCATTCAGTTTGTTTGTTTTTTTTTACACTCCCCCCCCCAAAAAAAAAAAAAAACATTATCAATATCATATGCAATTTAAGACAAAGGTTACTTAAAACATAAATGACATTTTATGTGTCATGCTCACTGATGATGATGAAAAACTATTTGAAAATTAATTTGGAGCCTTCTAACCTTGGTAATTTTTTCATTCCCCTCAAAAGTCCAGTAGATTTCTTGATATATACTCTCTCAGAGAATAGCTGCTCATAATGGCCCTCTCATCACACCAGTTTCACTTTCACTTTCCCAGGTACAGCTACATGATCGACAACATAATCCTACTGATCACGGGTACTCTCCACCAGCGCTCTATCTCGGAGCTGATTCCCAAGTGTCACCCCCTGGGCAGCTTTGAGCAGATGGAGGCCATACATGTGGCGGCCACACCTGCTGAGTTGTATAACGCGGTGCTGGTAGACACACCTCTAGGTCAGTGCTGGATGTCATCAGTTTTTATAATAAAATTTTTTAATGTTTCTTTTTATTTTCAGGTATTTACATATTTTCGTGTTATTGTTGTTGTTAATCTTATTTATTTTATTTATTTATTTATTTATTTATTTATTTATTTATTTATCACCTCCGCCAAGGAGGTTATGTTTTCACCCCTGTCTGTCTGTTTGTTTGTCATCAACATAACTCAAAAAGTTATGGACTGATTTTGATGAAATTTTCAGGGTAGGTGGGAAACAGGTTAACTTAGAAGCGATAAGTTTTCGGTGGTGATCCGGATCAATAATCTATCAATAATCAATAATAATCAAAAATCGCTGCCTTGTTTATTTATTTATTTATTTATTCTGTGAGAGAAGGAAGAGGGTTGGAGTTGAGGTAGAAGGGAGCAGTGGGGGGGAAGTCTGCGTAAAAGCCACTGAGACTGTCCTTAATGTGACTGTTTTCCCCCTGTTTCAGCTCCTTACTTCATAGACTGTATCTCTGAGCAGGATCTGGACGAGATGAACATTGAGATCATCAGGAACACACTGTACAAAGCCTACCTGGAGGACTTCCATAAGTTCTGTAAGGAGATGGGAGGGACAACTGCCGAGGTCATGTGTGAGGCACTGGCTGTAAGTATTCCTATTACTAGACAGCTGTCTGTGTGCCCTTTTGCTACTCAGTGGTTTATTGAGGCTGTCTTTTTCTGGAGATTATTGACCAGCCTGTCTAAAATACTTTACCATGGTTGCCATGGGACAGTACACGGGCATTGTGAGATTTTACCAACTATCGGCAGATTTTCAAACTTTTTGGGAGCCAAAAATATCATTGGCCTAGGCAGTCCCCTGGATCCTACACCATATTTTTCAACTTTTTCACTAAATGGCAGTCTCATCCCTGTGATAAAATTTAAAACTGGTAGAGATATGTGTTTGTTCGGTCTAAGAGACTGGCCACACCTGAAAGGGTTGAAAGTTTGAATTTACAGTCAGTCTGATAAAAATTCCTTGAATGCAGCTAATTTTTTTAACACCAACACTTGGACATGACTAAGTTTTAGATGAAAACAGAAAAACCATTGTAATGCTCAGTATCATATTATTTGAAACTAAGCTCAGTGAATTCATATCCTCTGTAATTGAACACGTTTTCATTTCCTTGAATATATTCTGTTGTCACTTCCATTTCAGTTTGAGGCAGACAGACGAGCCTTCATCATCACCATCAACTCGTTTGGCACTGAGCTGTCCAAGGAGGACCGTGCCAAGTTGTACCCGCGCTGTGGCAAGCTCTACCCTGACGGCCTGGCCGCACTCTCTAGGGCTGATGATTACGAGCAGGTCCGGGCTGTGTCGGAATATTATGGGGTGAGTATTATTTGTGGGAAGTGTGTGGGAGAAAATGAAGAGAGATACTTATAAAAATTTAATTTGTTTACTTAGCAGTTTTGTTATATATAGTTTTTGGCAACAATGCCCCGATTTTGTTTCCTATAATATTCTCTCTCTCTCTCTCTCTCTCTCCAGCATGCAGTATTCAAAACATCTTTCTTAAAGCTGATTCATAATTTGCATTTACAAATAAAAATATATTTGATAATCTGATAAAATAGCCTTCACAAGAAAAAAGATTTCTCCTAAGTCTGCTATTAACCTTTTTGAGATATTTGCCTAATGCTCATAATTGAATGTTTAATTTTTAGGAGTACAAGTTGTTGTTTGAAGGGTCAGGCACTGGACCAGGAGAGAAAACTCTGGAAGACAAATTCTTTGAACATGAGGTGACTTGGGCTTTTTTTTCACCCTTCACAATTATTGCCATACTGAAATATTTGCCACAAATGCCTGAACTACTGAACAATAGACCATTTTACCTCTTTCTGAAACACTTGTTACCTTTTGCATCCCTACAAATTTGGTTTAAAAGAGCAAAGAATATATGGTGATTTTTTTTTTAATTCTGAAAATTTGTTAAGGTGTCATGGTGGAAAAAATACAGAATTAAAGGTGAATAAAAACAATGATTTGGCATATATTATACTGTTTGATAATCTATAAAATCTCTTATTGTATAATTCCAGGTGAAGTTGATGATAAACGGGTTTATGAACCAGTTCCACTTTGGCGTCTTCTACGGCTATGTGAAGCTGAAAGAGCAGGAATGTCGTAACATCATCTGGATAGCTGAGTGTGTCGCACAGAGACACCGGGCAAAGATAGACAGTTACATTCCTATATTCTAATATTATCAAGTGCTTGAGATTGTAATATACGTGGACTTATTACTGTGACTTAGTAACTTATTTTTTGGTGCTCGCCATGTTGTCGTTATTGCCAATAGATGGCAGGTCGATATTATGGCCAGGATGTAAATTTCACGCTTTATTGAAAAATGGAGTATGGAAAAAAGAATTTGTAATTGGGTATTAAAATATATATTAGTTAAAGTGTTTTGGGGTGAGTGGGTACTGCACGGAGGTTGAAAGTTGGTGCTGGTCACGGCTATTTCGTTTTTGATTTTTTTTTTCAATGTTTTTTGTTTTTCTCCTGAACATAAGAGGAGAATTGAGGATCCTGTGTCAAGCAGCACTCATGAAAGCTGGTGAACGAATCTGCAATTTGCCTTTTTATAAAGGCTTGAATGATTCACAGAAGAGAATAAGACCACAAACTGTATAAAAGTTTACTTTACATTATGCTTTATATAAAGATGTGAAGACTTCACGACAGTCGGCTTAATAGTGTGATTCTCTAAATGGTCATATCAAGTTAAAGAAGTAAATATTCCCAATTGAAAAAAAAGATATGACACGTTTATTTCAAGAGTTATATCAGTACATGTTTAACCATGTCATACAGCAGTGAAAATGTGGATGTATGTTAAATAGTACAGCTGTAAAAACTGTTAGTGCAATAATAAAGTCTGTGGACTGTGTTTATATGTAAATCTGAACGGTGTAAATAAAAGAAATAAAAAGTTCCCGTCACTTGGCAGTGTCTTTTTTATCACCTTTAAAAGATGAAGTCCTCATCCAAGGTTGTTCTTGACAGTTGACGTTTGCAAAACATGCAATTTCAATACTAGATTTATGTTTGTTTTCTTAGGGCAATTGGGATGTTTTCGCAAAAAAAACCCCGGTTTTCCAGACCTTTTGAAAGTAAACTTGTTAAACTTACAAGAGAACCGCATCGCGTAAGATGCATTCCGTTATTATTTTGAAAATGACCTGTACTCTCGTATATGGTGCATATCAGTTTGTAAAATTTCACCTCCCTTCTTTAAAATGCAGCACTTAATTGCATTCCGCCGTCTACCGCCACAACGGCCCCCGTCATAAACCTCGCGCTGTCTGAGGCAACGGCGACTATCATGTCGCTTATATCATCTGGCTGGCCGTATCTTCCTATGGGATGAGCGTCCTTTAGCTGCCCTGTAAACTTTGAGATAATGAAAAACGAGAATTTCATGATTAAAGATGTTGTTATAAAAATGAAGGTTATTGGATGATAGATTATATGTTAATAATGCGACAGGTGTTTACGAATTATACAACAAAAATACAGTATAAAACACCCACGCACAAGTTGCTGATATGTCCCACATATAAATGGAATCATAAACGTTCTTTTGAGCGCAAACTGTCAGTAATTTTTATGAAATTAAGAGCACTGTGAACAACACGACCGCTAAAACTTGTTCTGTAATGTGTGCACCACAGTAGATTTTTTTCAAACACCCGCTAAAATATTTAAATGTTGTAGTGGTAATAACTTCAACTTCTCTGTTTTCATTTCAATTTATTGTCACATTGTTTAAATCCCATATAAGGGGACCCTCTGTCTGCTAAGCCGCTCTCCAATGTTTGAAGTACAGACAAATTTTTAAAGATCAACTTTCAAAAGAGACTTTACAAAGAAAAAAAGTTCGGTGTCCTTACTGCTTTAATGGTCTCCGGGTCGACCCCTGCGTTAGGTAGGATGTCTGTGTCCACGTAGCCGGGACTGGAAAAACAGAAAACGCTACTTTATATTCTCTACTACTATTATTCTGTACTAATATATATTATCTACTACCGTTATTCTCTCTCTCTCTCTCTCTCTCTCTCTCTCTCTCTCTCTCTCTCTATATATATATATATATATATATATATATATATATATATATATATATATATATATTTCTACCACTATTATTCTCTACTATACTATATATATATATATTCTCAACATCCGCGGGCCCCCTTCAAATAATCCTGGATCCGCCCCTGATTGAGCTTCAATAAATATATTACATATGAATAAACGACATACACAAAGTAGACATGGAATGTTTATGAAGTTAATACACAAACTGGGTATGATCAATAGTAAAAGAAATATGTGAAAATAATAAAGCCTTTACCTGATGCAGTTGACACGCACCTGCTTGGGACCCAAATCTATGGATGGGAAATAATAAAAAACACTATTAGTACATAATTATATATATTCAAGTGGAGCTGGTGAACAGGAAAACCCCAACTACTGTACACCATTTTTATGTTAGCCTCAGTCAATGAATTTCGAAAGTTTATACGTATACACATGTGCGCGGAGTTTTTCACGTATTACATTCAGATGTGTATACCCCGTAACTATCAAGTCTTATTATAATATATATTATAATATAAACGAATTAGGCGTTTACCAGCACTGTCCGCATTTCTTTTAGCACTAACGCCCAACAAACCCACGAAATAACCAACACATCGTACAATTATTTACATGTAGCACCAACAAACCGACACCTAGCACTAACATTCATCCGCTCTGGTAGTGCTGGTTAATTTGTGGTTAAGGTGGTTGTTAGTGCTAAAAGAAATGCGGACAGTGCTGGTAAACGCCTAATTCGTTTATAAGACCTGATTATGCTAGCAAGGGAGTAATGGTTTGCACTGTTTTTCAGTAAGATGCTTAATTTGATGCATGAAATCTTTTTTTGTTTAAGAAGGCGTCAACTCACGCAGGGCTGCAGACTTTGTGAAATGCTCCAATGCAGCCTTAGATACGCCATAAGTCAGTCTCATGCTTCCCTGAAACAAGAGAAACGTATCATACTTAAGAAAAAAAAGAATTAACAAAAATATATAAAATTTACATCAACCTCCGGCTCTAATAAAATACCCTTTTAAAAATTCTATGATGCCAACTGATGAGTTCTAATATAACGGGAGTGAAAACATATCTTAAGATGTAACTGTTAACTAAGGTTTTCCGACTCCCATTTGAAAATTATGGTCTTAAAAACGTACTGAATAATAAAAACCTTGGTAAAAAAACGGGTCGTTGTTGAAGATCTGGGGTTCAGTGGTCAGCAGCGCTTATTCTTATATTTCATTAAATGTACCTCATGCATGAATTTGAAATAACATTTAAGATAATAATAATAATAATAATAATAATAATAATAATAATAATAATAGTAGTAGTAGTAGTAGTAGAGAAAAAAACTTACTGGCACTGCGGCGGATGCGCTCGAAACATTCACTACATTTCCTGGGAAAGAAGAAAAAAGAATTTTTAATTTTTTCCGGTAATGTTATGTACCTGAATTAGCAATTGAATTCAACTATCGGACGAAGTGTAAATTTGCGTGACGTGCATGATGACTTACATAATGTAATGGAGGAAGGCACGGCATTTAATGATAAATACCAAAACTATATCAATTTATTTAAATAAATAAATCTCATCTTAAGATCAACACTAGCGAAAAGTATTGGATATGCAAATCGTCAGTGAAAACTAAATCACCCATCTTTCAAGATAAGTTCACTAATATAAACATTTTCATGCACAAACAGACATGCAAAAGCACGCGTGTGCACGAACTCTTTACCTTTAGTAGCCACAAGATACGGAACAGCAAGGTGAGTAAGATACACAGCCGCACGGAAATTGATATTCATTACCCGGTCAAAGTTGGCCATGTCCATGTTTTCTATAGTATCTATCAAGACTACCCCGGCATTGTTGACCTAAGCAGGAAAATAAATGTTCTGTCATCCATGTAGCTATAACGCTGAAGTAGTTTTTTATGTGCCTGGGATCTCTTTTTTACTTTAAGGCATCTTGAAGATGTGCACTTCTACAGAGATGGCACGGTTATCAAGGCTGACCTCATTTTTGGATTGATATTTTAACTGTTAAAAACAACATACAAATATCATGAAAGCTGTGCATAATATTAGAATCAATCCAAGTAGAATAAGTGAATATTTACCAAAATGTCTAACTGATTAAACTTTTCAATAGTTTTTTCTAGGATTTCTGACGCTATTTCTTCCTGGGATATATCTCCTGGCACCAGAAATATCTGGAATTAAATATTCTTTATTTGAATTTCAATCCATTGTTTTTCTCTCTTCCTGAACCAATCAAATACTTCGTTTCTGAATAAATTAAGTACGTGTGCACGTCAGCTGCATGTGAATGCAAGTTGAGTCTGCATCTCTGTTTGAGTGTCTGCATTTGTGCGTGTGGGTAAGGCTATTTACATGTATAATATAATATGAGAGAGAGAGAGAGAGAGAGAGAGAGAGAGACCATATCACTTCTCAAACCAGTTTCCCTGCATTTTGTGGCGGTATCTTCCAGTTTATCCACGTTTCGGCCATTAAGTGCCAGACGACATCCTTGCTTAGCGAGCTGCACCGCCACCGCGGCTCCTATCCCGCCACTGGCGCCTGGAATTTTTTAATTTAAGTTTATATTAAAATTTAAAAATAACTCCCTAGGAGCAACTGGTACAAACCATTGCGAATACTGTTACTGTTTCTGCGTCGAGAACGACGCCCGTCTCCCATTACTTTACACTTGGACATAAGAAGAGAAGGTCATGAAACGCGGGGCAAGATCAAAGGATAATCGGCGTAACGCGAGCTCTTCGCGAAACCATGGCCCAGTATCTCGAAAGCATCGCGCATTGCGACCGTGCGCAAACGTCTAGATTCCATAACTCGCCCATACTCGCTCCATATAGCCTTGTAGCCTCTATGTGATATCGCTATTCGCAATACGCGATGCTTTCGAGATACGGGGCCCACGTGCGTTCAGGTCCCGTGACCTTCCGTACAAGTAGCGAGCATATCGCAGTTGTCGATGACTTTTTGTGTCATTTGGGCAGGTAGTTCGCGATAACGTGAGTCAATCCTTCGGGTGGATGAGACAATAAACCTATAGAGATTAAGTATACGTACAATTTGTTCTATCAATTTTTAAGCTATGTGAGAATTTGATATGTTTGTTCATGGAGGAATTCAAAATGCCGTATGTGGTAAAGATAATCTTGTTTGTTGCCATAAAATGAGCATTCAAAATTGTACAATTGTAGTGTGGTATACTTGTTTTTAGTTATGATTCGATTGGAAAAAATTTCTAGTGTCAAAATTTTCTTTCTATGTGAGAAATTAGACTAAGATGCGGCAATAATAAAACCTTCAATCGTGTCAAGATTTAAAATGACGCAAATTCTCTCCGATTTCTTAGGCTTGCTGACATTTCTTTTAGGCTGATATTTTTATGCACCCTTTAAATAAAGATGGCATCAACACTGATATATACTTTATGATTAGATTCGTGCTGCTTGCTAAAATATGCGTGATTTTTGGGATGATAATTTTTTTTACTGTCAATATCGGCTCTCGTTGCAATACGGCACCACACACGCATTTGTGACACACGAAAACGCACCCGTAACGCCTTTCAGTATTCCTTTATCAAAAATGACATCAACACTTTTGTGAACTGTATATATATATGTTCATTTTACCGGCTAAAGTCTTCTCGAATTTAGGGATGCTAATTAATATTTTTTACCCTCAATATCGGTTCTTGTTGCAATATGGCAAAACACATGCATTTGGGACACACTAAAACCCACCAGGGGTGCTTTTTATATCCTTTTATCAAAATTGACATCAACAATTTTATGAACTGTATATATATGTTCATTTTACCGGCTATTGTCTGCTTGAATTTGTTTATTGGTAATTTCTTTACTCTCAATATCGGCTTTCGTTGGAAAATGGCACCACACATGAATCGGCCGATACATTGCTTTAAAGCCAGTTATATATCAGCTCAAAGTATGTCAATACAATCTTGGAAACGATCACAAGTATAGACAATAGTATAGAGCCCGTTTTAATGAGGTAACAGGAAAAAGAAACTGAAACCCCATAACAAATTTCCACGTGTTGACGCAAGGCTATGTGATAGCAACTGCAAAGTGACAGCAATGCTGTATCATAGCAACCACGAGGGACCACGGGAAATTGCGTTATCCATGCAATAGAACAAAAGAAGTTCACTGAGGCACAGCGTGCGCTACCTTGATAATAAGCTGTTCAGGCTCCCGTGGGCGAATGTTCACCCGACGCACACAGCTTCAAAGGAAGATGCCGCGTTTCACGTCCTTTCCTTTTAATCCAAGCTTTTCACAGACAGTCTGATATACGTTTATGTACAGGTGATAATCTCCCCATATTGTGACACTGTACTTTCGACTATTTCCTCCATGTACTTATCATTAGGTCCCCGGACTTTCAATCCTAAGACATGTACTTACCACTTCTCTCACACCGATCGATGGGTTCATAGGACCGAAGTTTTAATTGTGGTTAAGCCTACTACTTCTCATTTTGAAAACCTGGGACATTAAAGCAGCTACAGAATATTCACATCATACCTGTGATGAGAACCACCTTGTCTCGTAGACCGGCCATGCTTCGGACATAATGTGTAGTCGTTTTGGGTCATATATTGGAATGATTAATGTCTTCCTCAAATTTGAAATATTTCTTGAACATCAACCACAGGAATTGTATCTGTGACCTACTAACTTATTTTTTGGTGCTTGCCATGTTCTCGTTATTGCCAATAGATGGCAGGTTGGTATTCTGGTAAAGATTTCAATTTTATGTTTTATTGAAAAATAGTATGGAAAATAGAAATTGTAATTGGGTGTTAAAATAGATGTCAGGTTTAAGGTTTGGGGTGAGTGGATACAGCATGATAGTTAAAAGTTGGTGCTGGTCACGGCTATTTTGTTTTTTGTTGTTTTTTTTTTTTCAGTGATTTTTGTTTTTCTCATAAACATAAGAGGAGAATATTGAGGATCCTGTGTCAAGCAGCACTCGTGAAACCTAGTTAACAAATCTGTAATTTGCCTTTTTTAAAAGGCTTGAATGATTCACAGAAGAAAGTATAAGACCACAAATTGTAGCAAACTTTACTTTAACAATTATGCTACATGTAAAGATGTGGAGACTTCACGACAGTCGGCTTAAAGGTGTGATTCTCTAAATGGTCATATCAAGTTAAAGAAGTAAATATTCCCAATTGAAAAAAAAAAGATACGACACGTTTATTTCAAGAGTTCTATCAGTATCTGTTTAACCACTGTATACAGCAATTAAAAAATTGGATTTATGTTTAATAGTACAGCTGTAAAACTGTTAGTGCAATAATAAAGTCTGTGGACTGTGTTTATATGTAAATCTGAACGGTGTAAATAAAAGAAATGAAAAGTTCCCATCACTTGCAGTATCTTTTAATCACCTTTAAAAGATGAAGTCCTCATCCAAGGTTGTTCTTGACAGTTGACGTTTGCTTAACGTGTAATTTCACTACTAGATTCATGTTGGTTTTCCTGAGGGAAATGAGACGTCTTCGCGGGGGGAAAAAACAAGCTTTTTTTTTTCAGACCTTTGGTAAGTAAAGCTATTGAAATTCCATCAGACCAGCATCACATACGATACATTCCGTTGGTATTTTCAAATTAGCTGTATTCTACATCTTTGCTGTAAATCTATTGTTCGTTCTGAAAGGAAGTAAAACGCTTCCCACATCAGTCCTTTGCAAAAGTTTTTTAGTTTGTAAAATTCCACCTCCCTTTAAAATGCAGCACTTAATTGCAATCCACCGTCTACCGCTACAACGGCCCCTGTCATAAACCTCGCGCTGTCTGAGGCAACGGTGACTATGATCTCACTTATGTCATCTGGCTGACCGTATCTGCCTATGGGGTGAGCGTCCTTTAGCTGTCCCGTAAACTTGGAGAAAATGAAAAATAAGAATTTCATTATTAGAGATGTTGTAGTAAAAATGAAAATTATGATAGATAGCATTTTGATTAATGCTACACGTGTTTGAGTAATATACAACAAAAATACAGTACAAAAACTCCTGGGAACAAATGACATGCAAGTCACCCAGGTACGAGTAAATGGGTAAAATCATAAATAGTCTTAAAGGGACCATTTCATTCCCAGAACATATCGTGCTAACTGTGGATCGATCTATCTCCGAGGGGATTCTTGCTAAACTGCAATCAATTTAAGCGGCTTAGATGTCTGTCACGCCTACTGGGCTTCAGAAGGCGTGTCAGACATCTAAGCCGCTTAAGCTGAAAGCAGTTTAGCGAAAAAACCCTCGGAGATGGATCGATCCTATTAAATCGAACTAGGTATGGGAGCCCAGCCTTAGAGCGCACTTAAAACTTGTTCTGTACAGTGAGTTACATATGGTCCACAGTAGATTTTTTTCAAACACCCTCTAAAATATTTAAGTATTTTAGTGGTAATAACATCGACTTTTTGGTTTTGTTTCAGTTACTTTGTTTAAATCCCATAAATCCCATGCTAAGCCGCTCTCCAATGTTTGAAGTAATGAGTACAGACAATTTATTTAAGATCAACTTGGCAGTAAGGAATTTTCCTTTTACTCTGCAAAGCAGTCTTGTGTTTCAAAAGAGACTTTACAAAGAAAAAAAAGTCCGGTGTCCTTACTGCTTTAATGGTCTCCGGGTCGACCCCTGCGTTAGGTAGGATGTCAGTGTCCACGTAGCCGGGACTGGAAAAAAGAACATAATACTTTATATCCTCTACTATCATTATTCTGTACTACTATATATTCTCTCTCTCTCTCTCTCTTTATATATATATATATATATATATATATATATATATATATATATATATATATATATATTCTCCAATATGCTACATATTCTCCACTAATATATACCGCAGTATTCTCCTCATTACTACATGTATTTTCTACCACTATTATTCTCTACTATACTAAATGTATATATATATTCTCCACATCCGTGGAGCACCCTTCAAATAATCCTGAATCCGCCCCTGATTGAGCTTCAATATATGATTACATATGATTAAACGACATACACAAAGTAGAAATGGTATGTTTATACACAAACTGGGTATGATCAATAGTAAAAGAAATATGTGAAAATGATAAAGCCTTTACCTGATACAGTTGACACGCACCTGCTTGGGACCCAAATCTATGGACGGGCCCGGAAATAAAAACACTATTATAGTACACATATTCAAGTCGAGTTGGTGAGCAGGAAAACCCCGACTATGTACAGCATTTTCTGTTAGCCTCAGTGGGTGAATTTCGAAAGTTTAGCCTAAGAGTTTTACTTTCACAAAGTACGTATACACATGTGCGTGGATTTTTTCGCGTATTACATTCAGATGTGTACCCCGTAACTATCAAGTCTTATAAACGAATTAGGCGTTTACTAGCACTGTCTGCATTTCTTTTAGCACTAACGCCCAATAAACCCACGAAATAACCAACACATCGTACAATTTTTTACATGTAGCACCAACAAACCGACACCTAGCACTAACATTCATCCATACTGGTAGTGCTGGTTAATTTGTGGTTTAGGTGGTTCACATGGTTGTCAGTGCTAAAAGATTTGCGGGTAGTGTTAGTAAACGCCTAATCCGTTTATAAGACCTGATTAGTGGTTTGCACTTCTTTCCAGTAAGATGCTAAATTTGGTGCATGAAATCTTTTTTTTTAAGAAGACGTCAACTCACGCAGGGCTGCAGACTTTGTGAAATGCTCCAATGCAGCCTTAGATACGCCATAAGTCAGTCTCATGCTTCCCTGAAACAAGAGAAACGTATCATACTTAAGAAAAAAAAAGAATTAACAGAAATAAATAAAATTCACATCAACCTCCGGCTCTAATAAAATACCCTTTTAAATGTTCTATGATGCCAAGAGATGAGTTCTAATATGACGGTAGTGAAAATATAGCTTAAGATGTATCTGTTAACTAAGGTTTTCCGACGTCCATTGGAAAATTATGGTCTTAAAAACGAACTGAAGAACAAAAACCTTGGTAAAAAAAAAAAAAAAAAAAAAAACGGGTCGTTGTTGAAGATCTGGGGTTCAGTGGTCAGTAGCACTTATTCTTATATTTCATTAAATGTACCTCATGCATGAATTTGAAATAACATTTAAGATAATAATAATAATAGTAGAGAAAAAAAACTTACTGGCACGGCGACGGATGAGCTCGAAACATTCACTACATTTCCTGGGAAAGAAGAAAGAATTTTTAATTTTTTCCGGTAATGTTTTGTAACTGAATTAGCAATTGAATTCAACTATCGGACGAAGTATAAATTTGCGTGGCGTGCATGATGACTTACATAATGTAATGGAGGAAGGCACAGCATTTATATATAAATTTAATGATAAATAACAAAACTATATCAATTTATTTTAATAAATAAATCTCATCTCAGGTCCCGACGAAGATCAACACTAGCGGAAAGTAGCAGATTTACAAATCGTCAAGGGAAAAAAAATCACTCATCTTTTAAGATAAGTTCACTAATATAAACATTTTCATGCACATGCACAAACAGACATGCAAAAGTACGCGTGTGCACACGCAAAACACACAAAGCACACGAACACTTTACCTTTAGTAGCCACGAGATACGGAACAGCAAGGTGAGTTAGATACACAGCCGCACGGAAATTGATATTCATAACCCGGTCAAAGTTGGCCATGTCCAGGTTTTCTATAGTATCCATCAAGAATACCCCGGCATTGTTGACCTAAGTATGAAAATAAACGTTCTGACACCAACGTAGCTATAACGCTGAAGTGGTGTTTTTTATTTTTATTTATTTTATTAATTTTTTTAATTTGCCTGGGATCTCTTTAGAAGTCATGTGAAGCCATGCACTTCTATTTAGACAGCACGGTTATCAAGGCTGGCCAAGTTTTTGTGGATCGATATTTAACTGTTAAAATCAAAAACAAATATCGTGAAGGCTGCACATCATATTAGAGTTCGATTCAAGTAGAATAAGTGAAAATTTACCAAAATGTCTAACTGATTAAACTTTTCGATTGTTTTTTCTAGGATATCTGACGCAGTTTCTTCCTGGGATATATCTCCTGGCACGAGAAACACCTGAAATTATATATTTTCAATTGAATTATTATTCATTGGTTTTTTATCTTTTCCTGAGCCAACCAAATGCTTCGTTTTTGAACAGAGAACGTGTGCACGTCAGCCGCATGTGATTGCAGGTTGAGTCTGCATTTCTGTCGGAGTGTATGTACTTGTGCGTGTTGGTGTTTTGAGAGAGAGAGAGAGAGAGAGAGAGAGAGAGACCATTTCACTGCTCAAACCGATTTCCCTGCATTTCGTGGCGGTTTCTTCCAGTTTATCCACGTTTCTTCCACTGAGTGCCAGTCGACATCCTTGTTTAGCGAACTGCACCGCCACCGCGGCTCCTATCCCGCCACTCGCGCCTGGAATGTTTTAATTAAAAAAAAAAAAAAAACATCCGAAGAGCGACTGGTACAAATCATTGCAAACACTGTAAAATTGTTTCTTCGTCGAGAACGACGTCCGTCTCCCGTTACTTTGCACAGGCAGTCTTATATATATATTTATGTATATCTAACTGGTACAGGTGAAAATCACCCCATATGGTGACACCGAACATTCGACTATCTCCTCCATGTACTTATCATTTGGCTCCCCGAACTTCCAATGCTAAGGCAACTGTTGAACATGTACCTACCACTTCTCTCACACCGGTCGATGGGTTCACAGGACCGAAGTTTTAATTGTGGTTAAGCCCACTACTTTTCATTTTGAAAACCTAGGACATTAAAGCAGCTATAGAATATTCAAAATCGTACCTGTTATAAGAACCACCTTGTCTCGTAGACCGGCCATAGTTTTATCTGCAGGGCAGAAGTGCGCGTCATAACAGTCAAAAGTTATCGCCAAATAAACAGTGTTATCTAACCATCTGTGTTCTAATTTGTCGGGGGCATATAAAATTCATAAGCGTTTTCGGTAATTTCACTAAATGTGTGTGTGTGTGTGTGTGTGTGTGTGTGTGTGTGTGTGTGTGTTTATCGTTCCTAGTTCTTCACTAAACTTTGTGTAAAGTCTAAAGAGGTAAAGTCATCTTGTTTGTTAATCTGATTATACGAAGATCAGTTCAAGAATTCTTTGCCTTGGTGTGAGATTTTAAAAAGAGTGGGATTCTCTACAAATCGGCAATGTACTGAGCAAGCATGTTAGTAATTTTCATGCATTGCTAAATTTGCGCGATTCTTACATAATGTGAATTAAGTCGTTTTGTTCCATTGATCGACCTATATTGGAAGATCCTAGAATGATTAATGCCTTCCGCGCATTTGGCAAATACATTTCATAAGCATCAACCAAACTTTTTAAAAGTCAGTAGGGCCTAAACAAAGCATACCCCCTCCCAAGTTTGCTACAACAAGGCGACAGCATCTTTATAAATGGAAATATTGAACCGTTATATATACTTTCTTAAAGACAACAAGACTGAGATGCGTTAGTTGCGATTTGCGTTACCTTCGCACACCTCACCAGCACATTCATCTTGTACTGGGTAATACTCTTTGTAGTCGGTGCACATTAATTCTCCATTTCATGAAAAATGGCGCTTGGAAGAAGGCGTCATTCAAGTTTTCCGTAATTTTCCTGAATTGTGCGGAAACCTGCAAGCATATATGGTATGTTCTCTGTCGTGCAGAAACATGAATATATAGGGATTATTGAGCAATCGCGTGATTTGCGATCGGTTTGCTACTTTGACTTATATAAGTATTTTACTAACACGTGTGTTTGTTTTTGTTTTGAAAAGTGCAGGTGGACGTAAGCTTATGGAACAGTGCTTGCCAAAAAGGCCCAGGAATATCAGATAAGATCTGATATTGCTTAATTAGGATCAGTTTATAGTAGAAATGTTGTCGCAGTTGTGAGTGTACAGAAAACTGCAGTTCGGCTGCAGTTGAACGTGGCAATGTCACTTTTATATACCGTTCTTATGCTATGGCACAGACTTCATTCTCACTAGTAGAAAAGATCGGCAATACAATTCAGCATGTATCTCTTCTCCCAGAGTTACAGATTCTCTTAATTTTTTTTATTATCAGTTAAATATGTGCAATGATATACCATTGATAGCTGAGATAAGAATTTTTACTCTACCATATCATTTAGTTTGTCACAAGTGTTTAGAATAATATTTGCACAATTTGTCACAAATGATGAGATTAACATTTCTGTCAAACAATAATTAAATGGAATAAAAAGCTAAAAAATTTTGATTAAAGAGACTGCTAAAGCATTTTGAAAATATATTATTCATTTCAGGAAATGAGTGCATTGAACGGTGCAATGTCAAAATGAACCGAGCAAACAGCAATACACAAAACAACCGAATTCCCCAAATGAGCACCAACAACCAGTTCTCGAAGCCAGTAATATCTGCACCAAATGCAGCTCCAGTGCAAAGACAATCTTCTCGCGACCAGTCAGCATTATTACAAAATCAGTCCTTGAAAATAGGTCAAGGTCAGGGTCATTTGCATAATGAAGGTCAAGGTGAAGGTCAATCAAAGAACAGTCATCAGAATCAGGCACAGTCACAAATGAGTCCCCCACAGTCAACAAATGAGTCAGAGGCAGAGCTGCCTATGGAGTTACTCCAAGCTGGCTGGAGGAGGTTCTGGAGTAAGAGAGAAGGAAGACCATACTATTTCAACAAGCTGACGAACCAGTCTTTGTGGGATTTACAACAGCTCTTAGACACACAGGTTAGGAGATGGCAAGTGCTTGATTTGAAAAGAAATCTATCCAGATGTACTGCTGCTGTTTATGATACTGATTCTGTCAAAATACTTGAAAATTTACTGTTGCAAAATGACTGGGGCAGGGTCTGCATCAGGGGGCAAAACAACAAAAATTTTGACTGCTAAGTCAGTATTGAGAAAAAAAAAAATGAAAGAAGGAGGCACACTGATCCTGAAATACTCAAATAGACCCAAAATGAACTATTGCATGGATAAGCTGGCCAAAAGATTATTAAAAAAGTGTTCTTCACAAGTGGGTCTTATTAGACTAATACCACTTATGGTTAAGTCAGTTAAGAATCCTACCTTCACCTATGAAAAACCTCTGCAATCCAGTTTTTTCTTTCAGTTGGATCCCCTATCAGACCCACTTGGCATCGCCACACCATCGCCCCCTCCCATGTCCCCCAGTGACATCCGCATGACGCGGCTAAGTGTGGACATCCCCTCGCCACAAGTAGGGAACAAGAGGCGGAGTAGTGGCGAGGCGCTGGCGAGTCCTGTGAAGAGGCCAATGCAGCAGCCAGTCCCCATTATAAGGTAGGTGCTGTAGAAAAGTGGGTAAAGGAGAAGAAAGATGAGGGTTTCCTCCAGGAAGGGGATGATTTAAACAGTGTACGAGCCATTGTTTTCCTGTAGCTTCCCCTTTCTTTTATCCAGAGTGCAGAAATCCAATTTTTCCCTTTTTTACCTCAAGTGACACCTGAATCCCATGTCACAAGTCAACTTGAAAGTTATTTCTTCCTCCTTTCCTCCAACCCAAAATCCTATCTGCAGCTTTATCTGACTATAGTGAAATACATTTTGGAGTAATTTAATGTCTTTCATGCTCTTACATTCTGTCCAAATCTTTACATTTAATTTGGAAATGAAAGATTATTTTCAAAAAGATATGGACACAAAAAGTACTTCAGCATTCACAAAATTTTAAACTCTGGGTTAATTTGATCTGCTACTTAGAGAATGGAAGTGTAAGATGCTATAACAGGAAATAAGCTTCAAATTTTGTTAGAATACATTAAAGAACCTGCTGCAGTGAAAGTAAAACTTGTTTAACTTTACAGTTTCTTTTACTCTACTGCAGTCTCACAATGGTAATAAGGATTTTTAATGATGTTATCCATATATTAATCATCTTTTTATAGATATTTTGTAGATATTTTTGTGTATAATTTAGATGATTTAAATAATAATGAAATCATATCATAACTTATCACATTTAAGGCATTTAAGTTGTACACATGTTTATACTACAACAGGACTTGATAACTAGTGCTATAACTCTATTACTAGTACTGTCTCACATTTTAGGCATGAAAAAATATCAAAAGCTGTACACATATTTATCACTTTTTCTCCATCTCCAGCCCGACGTGGAACTTTGAAATCCCCACCAACGTGGTGATATATGAGAGAGCGATGAGTCACATCCTCCCTCCGCATCCTGAGGTGGAAGTTCTACGGGCACAGTTAATATTAAAGCTACGGCAGCAGTATCAGGAGATGTGTCACTCTAGAGAAGGTAAGTTCTAGTGAAGATTGATTTAGAAAATTTAGAATAGCTTTATTTATTAATTCTTTGTAATGTATATGGTTGAATGGTGGAATATTTTAAAGATAACTGATAAATATTTTAAACAGTACCTAAGGTCAGAAATCTTGTATTTGCTGGTCACTGGGTAACAGCCTTTAAGTGAGTGGTGATAACTGTAGTTTTATACTAATCTTAAAAGTTTAATATTTAAAAAATATCCCATAATAGAATAATAAATAAAAAGTGCATTTTAGAGTTTATGATGACAGTAGTTGAAATCTACAATGAAACAACCTGTTTAAACAAAACCTATTTTCAGGCATCGACTCTCCTCTAGAATCATTCAACCGGTGGCTGTTGGAGAGAAAGGTCATTGACAAAGGCAACGACTGCATGTTTCCTAGCAACTGTAGCCCAGAAATCTCCCAGTCCATGTACAGAGAAATAGTCAATGATATCCCTATCAAACTGGTCAAACCTAAATATTCAGCTGACGCAAGGAGGCAACTGTCCAAGTATGCTGAGGCTGCAAAAAAGATGGTAGAAACTAGGTATGGTTATTGAAGAATTGTTTATTTTATTTTTATTTATAAATTTTTTTACAGTGAAAATATTAAAACTATGAAAGTAATTTAAAGTAAAAATGTAGTCAAGTCCTCCTTAGAAGTGGCAGTTAGTAAATAGTACATTTTGATCTATAATTTTTGATTCCAAGGCCAAAAGGCAAAACTAATGGAAAAAAAGAAAAGATGTCTTACTTTTATGTTTCTTTAAGAAGTGGAACTTCTTAGGGCTTATCAACCTAAACTTCCCTGAAATGAGAAAGAAGAAGTCTAAATATTAAAATTGAATCAAGAAATTGTGACAAAACCTATGAGAACATTGCTGTGTTTCAGAAATGCCTCCCCAGAGAGTCGTAAGCTAGTCAAGTGGCACGCAGAAGATACATTCCAGTGGCTGAGGAAGCAGCCCAATGCTACCTATGATGATTACTTAGTGAGTGTGCGCGCGCACACACACACACACACACACACACACACACACACACACACTGAGGAAACAACCTAATGCTACCTATGATGACTACTTAGTGATTGTGTGCACGCACGCGCACACACACACGCAGAGAAAGAGAAGAGAGAGTGAGAAAAAGAGAGAGAGAAGGGGGGAGTATATATTCTAATCAGTTATTTAAAGCTGGCTAACTTAAGTTTGTTTATTTTCAATATCATGAATATCCTTGATACTCACCGTGGAATAAATTATTTTATCTCTCTCAGGAACGTCTGGCTCACCTAAAGCGCCAGTGTCAGCCGTACCTGATAGAAGCTGCCAAAGGCTCTGTAGAGGGCATCTGTAGTAAAATCTATGCTCTCTCCTGTGAATATGCCAAAAAAGTTAATGAGAAAAGCTGGCAGATTTTACAGGAGCATGGAGTTAAAGGTTAATATTTATATTACAGTTTGTAAACATCCAAGCGCCATACCAAATTAAAACAATTTTAATGATTAACATAATTAACTACTTGTGGATAGTTTTATTGCAACCATCATATATGTTATTCTTGACTTAAGCAATCAGAAAATTGAGGCGTTTGGTGAATTTATTTCAATTTCTACGAGTTTAAATTAACATGCTCAATGTTTAGTATACTTTGCTATCAAAACAATACAAAAATAACTGTGAATATCTAAAAGGAAAAAGACAATGAATCTTACAATGAGGGTTTCCTTTTAAAGCAGTAATCTGTAAATTTTCTCTGTAGACCTAGATCTCAACACATTATTTTGATCTGTTTCTTTTCTTTTTTCCCCAAATCTCTCTAAATCTTTTCACAGACATTTGTTAACAACAAAGTATTCTGATCCAATCCTTTCCCTTATTTACCACACCCAAATCTTCCTGAAGCTCTAGACAAAAAGTTTATAACAACACATTATTTTTATCCAATTTTTTTCGTTATTTCCCAGACCCTGATCTTCCGGAGCCCCCGCGGAGGAAGGTGATGTGTTACCCCGTGTTGCTAGGTGTCCCCTGTCCCAGAATGCCCACGGTAGAGCATCACATCGAGGGCGAGACAACCTATGTCAGGTTCAAAGGTGAAACAATGAAGATTAATACGTCACATTTTCAAAAACTGGTAAGTCTTGGCATGTTTGAAATAAGGGTTCTTGCTTCAAATTTTGAATTTTATTGGTATTATTTTGAGGAGATTGTAGGGTGACCATATGAATTTTCTATTATTTTAAACAGAAAACTGATTTTGATACTAAGAAGTCAACGTTTAGGAGTATGTATCATAAAGTACATGCTTAACAATTTTTATGTTAGAAAACATTTGGGAAGAATTTAGTCTAATTTAAAATTGAAATGGTCATTGAAATGCTGAAAAAGTGTTAATGGTGATACAGAGAGCGAGTATTTGCCAAAATTATTGGTGCTATTGTCTATGCATATTCTAGTTAAAAAGTATAAAACAATTATAGAAAGAAATGGATGATCATTAATATGTTCAGATTCTAAGAATGACTGCATACTGCAAATAGTTTGAATTTTTGTGTTATTAGTAATTTTATGGTTAAGGGTTTTTGTCTAAGGGTATACAAGTAAATTAAATGTAGGGTTGCTGTAAAAAATAAAGATTAATTATAAAATTTATCTGAATTCAGGAACAGTTATATAGGTGGAACTGTAAAGACGACCCAAGGTTCGACAAATTTCTAGCAAGAGTTTGGTGCTTACTAAGGCGATATCAGGTAAATAACAATTGATGTCAGAGCCTGTTTCATTTTAGATCACATTTTTTTTAAAGTCGTATGCTTTGTGTCCTTTGTGAAATGTAAATTTTGTTTTCATCTGTGTACAAGTTTCTTTCACTTTGGTAATGCTCAAAGTGCTTGTTGGTGCTGAACAGGAAGATATGGGGTAGAAAAGGTGTGATATTAGATGTTATTGCAGCTTAAAACTCTTACAGAATTTATAAGTTTTTACAGCTTTGTAATATTTGTGCTTTAATGGACATTTATTTCTCTTCTAGATATATCACTGGCTCTTAGTGTTACCTGTTTAGTCTGTCATTTTAGGGGCAGTTTATGTTTTTGTTAACTAAATTGAAACTTTTTGCATTGTTCACAAATACATTTCACTAGCAAATCTAGGTAGGTGATATCATGGATCTTTTGATTGAGTACATTTGTATTATTTCTATACTTTATTTCCAGACCTACTTTGGGCCGCAGCAGAACGAAGGTTTTCTCCTTCAGGGCGCACTACCTGTCCCAGTGTTTGAATGTCTTCATCGTCTGTTCGGGGTGACATTTGAGTGCTTTGCTTCTCCATTAAACTGCTTCTACAAGCAATACTGCTCAGCGTTTGCAGACATAGACTCTTATTTTGGATCCCGGGGGTGAGAAGTGTATATAGTCTTTATTATTAGATCAGGGGCGGATTGAGACCATCTTCTGGGTCTGCCGGAAGACGGTCAGATTTTCAAGTTTACATTGACGGGTATCTAAATTTTTCTGTCGGAAGACGGTCAAATATGGAGGATGGATGAACAAAGATCATTTGAAAGACTGTCAGAAAATATCTTTGTATCTGCCCCTGTAGGTCATAGCTGAAAGAAAAGACTTGACACTAAACAGCTAACACTTGTAATTATTGGGAAGAATTTAAAAAACACGTATGCTTTAAAATGTTGTAAAGCTGTGATGTGTTGTCAGCACACCTAGGAATTTGGGGACTGTTTAACATGACATAATTATCTCAGAACTTCTTGCGATGGAAGTTTTGCTATATCTCCATTTTGAATTTAGTAAAATAGACAAGAGACTGCCAAAGCAATAATTAGGTATCATAATAATTTATCACTTCAGTCTATATTACAGTAATTTATTATTCAGTCTATATCATAATAATTTATCACTTCAGTCTATATTACAATAATTTATCACTTCAGGCCCATCCTGGACTTCCATCCAGTCAGTGGCTCTTTTGAAGCGAATCCTCCATTTTGTGAAGAGCTGATGGAAGCCATGGTGGACCACTTCGAGGTAGAACTGGCAGTCAATATTGTTTCAGACAGAAAAATTCTCCCAAAGCAATGCTGTTATACACTAATTGGCTTAGTTAAATGTTTGGAGCAAAGAAATCTGGCATGTTATTTTGGAAGCATTTCTGTTATTTTGTAACATTATGTATCACTTTCACTGTGACTCACTGATATTAAAATTTACCAAAAGTGTGAAAGCATAATAAAAAATCCTTAATGTTTCGCATAACTTTGGACATCCACATGCTAAAACTTAAATGGTTTTAGATTTGTAATAGACTTCATATCCAAGTTTTTGTTTTAATTGGCTTTATATCCAAGTGTTATAAGTTTAACAATGTCCCTGTATGTTCCAGAGTCTGCTGGCAGAGTCCAGTGAGCCGCTGTCTTTCATTGTGTTCATACCTGAGTGGAGAGATCCACCCACAGAGGCCCTGGTCAGGCTGGAGAATAGCGTGTATGTTTACCCTCTCTCTCTCTCTCTCTTTCTCTCTCTCTCTCTTTCTCTCTCATGATGATTAACTTCACAAGCAAATTACCCTTAATTTGTTAATTAATGCCCTGACATATTGCCTATCAAAATCCATAAAAGATCAGTAATTGAACTGAAATATTAAGGCATTGTTAACATTTAATCATATTCTAAGTAGGAAAGTATCAAAAATGCCAAAAAAGAATCCTTTTATGAAGAATTTTTATGTAAATGTTGTGTTTTGAAATGACTTACTGTTTGTTCCCTGCTTATTCAATCTTAACTCAGAGAAATCTTTTCACTGCTTCAGGTTCAAACGTGGTCAGGTAACCATCCCGCCATTTGAGCATGAATACCGGCACGGCTTCCAGCATATATGTCCTAAGTAAGTGCAAGCAAATGGAAATATACACAAAATGGTATCATTACGTCAAATCTGATGTTCATGATGTGATTTTATTTTAGACTTTCTGGCAAAATTTTGATTTAATAACTGGTTTTAATTTATTTGCCAAGAAAATTACTAAAATTCACAACTGATTTAGGAAAAAATTTGTGCATATTTGTTATTAGCTTCATTTGAAACATTTGAAAAAAATATTTGAAATGGCTCTCTGGTTATACCATACATAACTAAAGTATGTTCTTCAGAATTACCATATACTGACAATTTTATAAGATCCGTTAAACTATTTTAAAGTTATATGAAAGAAACATTTTAACATACCAATAACGCATTGATTTATGTCATTGTTCAATAAATTAATAATATATATAAAATTTCATCTTACTTCATTTAGACCTGAACTTAATGTCAAGTCCAGCCATGGGATCTTGGTGATATTTCTACAGAACATTGAATAACTCATTGATTTATAACAATGTTCAATATATTATTAATATATGCAAATCTTATTTTTTCTAGGACTGAGCTTAACGTCAAGTCCAGCCATGGCACCTTGGTGATATTTCTCCAAAACGAAGCAGGGTTTGTAAAGTGGGCACCCACCACGGAGAGAGTAAATGAACTCCTGCTGGCGTACAGGCCAAAGGACAAGCTAAACTAGTGAAATCTGTCCAAGAGTCGACTGAAATGACTGAATCACTGCTATCACACTGACCAAAAGAAAAAGAAACGGCTGAGATGATCCATGATATCCAGGTTGTTAAAAGGTGAAGGTCATTGATGCAGTGGTACCACTGGGACAGGGTACAACAACACAGGGAAAGGTAGACTCAGCTACAGAAATTCTGAGACAATAAAAGAAGCTGATCAAGCTATGCGTGATGATAAGAGTGGATTATAGCGCCCATGAAAGTGAGTGAATTGGTAGCTTTTTATTGCACAGCTGAAAACTGGTGTTAATGTCTGAATAGCAGGTGACATAGCACATGACATCTTGTTAGCACAGCAGAGAAAGAATTCCTGGAGTGGCTTCTTAAGTATTAATTAACTGAGAAATGAAGCTTGAACAGCAGAAGACAAAAGAAAAAGATGAATATAACTAACATGACTGAAAATGGAGAAATAAGAAAGGCTACAATAGAAGAGAAAATGGCTTACTTTTTTCTAAGCTGTGCCCATGTTTTAAGCTGTGTGTGCCTGTAGATAGCTGGGGTTTGTTAAGTTTTACCTCTCACCCATGAGACTTGATTACAAGAGTTTCAAGAATTAACAAGAGCAGTTGGTATTCTGCTTAAATATTAATACTAGAGAAATAACAAGCTCAAAAACATTCTCACCTCATTTCTCTGTGGCAACTCCTCTGTGTCTGATTCCAGTAAGAATGGAGAATTAATGAAGTCAAGGCAGAAGATCTGTAGGTACACTAATGAGAAAACTACTTTTCTGCCTATGTCTGCATATGTGTCAGCTTTGCTGTCTAGTTTCTAGTCTCATTCAGTGCATGAAACAAGGGAATGTTCATATATTCAAGGATTTCTTTATTTTTCAAAGAATTTTTCTAAATCATGATTAAGGCTTCTCAAGATGAAAAAAAAGCATACATCCCTATGGTTGAGAATTGGTGACTTTATAGAGAATAGTTGTTCAGGTTATTTTAGAGTCGTTTATGAAACAAAAGAACATTAAAGGTATCCATTTATAAACAGTTGGTTTGATATTCCACTTAAGCTGAAAAAAATAGAAATTTGAATTGTAAACTTGAGTCAGTGTATACACATTTACTGACATTGCATTCTCCCCCATACTTATCATTCAAGTATTAACTTTGGTCTTCAGGTGTTGGATTATTTTTGCTATTGATGAATGATGAGTTGATATCAAGCCCCTATTCACACTGCAGTATACTCTCTATTTTCACATCAGTTTGAGAGGCTAACAACTTTATAGCCAGACTGTTATGTAAGAAAGACATCTAAAGAGAGGCTTTGCACTAGTTGCGTCCAGATAAGCAGCTTCATAATTAAGATTGGTCTTAACGTTTGGAAGAGAATTTAGAAAAGGCAAAAAAAAAAAAAAAAAACAGTAGTGTTTTTACACGAATTTGAAAGGAACAGATCTGGGGATCAAGTATCGCAACAAACTAAAAAGCTTGCCACTTAATTCCTGATTAGACACTGAATAGATTCCCCGCGGGGATTACACATCTAGCATTCAAGTGTGTTGGCCATATTTGATCCGGGGATCAGTTAGTCCGCTTTTCTGAATGCGCTCTAAGCATCCTCTGTTGTTTAGATAGTGAGAACTCTGTATATTCTCAATTTGTGTAGTTGCAGTTCAATTATTATTCTTAATTTGTACAGTATAAATTCATGAGTATTTGTTTAATACTTGGATTAAACTCTCTAATAATACTTTGTAAAAGTAAACATAATGAATTCTTTAGAAATGTTTTGTAAAAGTAAACAGCCTATGGTTTGAATTTTTAAACATAAGATTGGAATATGTTTATAGAAAGCATGAGGTTTTATTTCTATTTTTACTGCTTTTAACTGTTAAACCATTCAGGTTTTATTGCATGGTATTTATGAGTCTGTTTTTAGCTAATAGTATGAAATGTATAAAGCTTGATCAGGTAAGTGTGGTGAATACAAGGGATGTTTTGATTTCTTAGTAAGAATGTTAAGTTGAGGGAGTTTTTTTATCCAGTTCATTTAGGTCAGGTTTTTATGTTGATTTAAAGTTTTGGTGGGAGTGTAACAGATCAGCTTGTTAAAACAACAAGACACTGCTGGACGGCTATTTATCTGATTTTTATGTACACGAAACACATTTTCAGAAAATCCATATTAAATTTCTCTTAGCCAAAGTGAATAATCTGTGGCATTTTGCAATAAATTGCTTTGCCAAAATGGGCCTGAACATTATTTATTATAGCTCATATGAGAGGCTTTTTTTTCTTTTCATTTTATTGCCTTTAGCTTTCTTTTTAATTGCCATAAATGTGTATAATTTAACATAAAGTGTTTCTCTGTCAGGCTGATATTAAACTGAAGAAAAAAGAGAGTTCATGGTTTAAAAAAAATCAAAATATCTTAATGTCTTAGCCCTTTGCAGTGAGGGGGAAATTCTTATTGGCAATTACTGTACATTGCTTATAAATTTGTATTTTCGTATATGTTAGTCTTTTTGTATGTAGTTTATAGCTCGGTGAAGAAAACTCTTCTCTGTAGTATTATATTGGATAAGATCACATGAGCTTTGTGAACGGGTAACTATAGCAAAATACTAAGTATTGAAATGGAATTTGCTGGATATGTATGTATACATAACAATAAACCCTCTATCTTCAGGGTCAGTTTTCCATCACAGGTGGGAGAATTAGAAGATGTTATTTCAAAATGTTGAATTTCTTGATCAACCCTCACAGGAATTTTAGAAAGAAATAGATGCCATTTTCAACTTGGCTTTTAGATAATAACTGTTGTAAATGAATAAGCATCAGTGTTAAGCTAAAGGCCAACTTACACTGCTAGTTTGAAGCTGAGCTACCACCTAGTCAGGTTTGTGTTGTTTGCCCTTTTGAAATAAACCCTGTGTATATTTTTCCCCAGTCTCTCCCATTAGAAAAAGGCATCAGTACAAGAACCTGTTTAGCTCAGCTACTTGTCTGAAAGAAAAGAAGCTCAGCTTGTTGTTCTCAGAGTGTGTTGGTCTTAAGGCGCAGCTGCATCAGACTTCGCGCACTGCAGCAGTTTTGTAGGTGTTCATATATTAACAATGAAGTATTTTCTTATTTTTCTAATCAGTAAGGTGTTTTTTAAAGAAAAGTACCATTGGTGCTTGCTTGATTTGTAGTTCAGCAAGCATTCTATAGAGGTGTTTTTTTTTTTTCGTTTTTTTTTTTTTTTTTTTTTTTTTTTTTTTTTTTTTTTTTTTTTTAACATCCCAACCGGGGGGGGTTTTTTTTTAAAATTTTTTTTTTTC